GTCAGGTAACTTTGCACCTTTTTTAGTGCACTCTTTGATAGAGCATGCTCTGTTCTTTTGGTTTGTTTCGTTTGCTTTTTTTTTTTTTTTTTTTTTACCTCTCTCTCGCTCTCTCTTTTTTTTTTTTAATAGCCTGGAAACCTCTTGTCAAATGTCCCATAGATTTTACCCTTTTGTTTCCACATTAATTTGACATGGTGGTTGCTCAATAAGCAGAGCGACAGTTCTTGTGCTTTTTAGCAAGTGTTTGTGGAACGCATAGATGCGTTTCTGTTGGTTAGCTACCGCTGTAGATACAACACCAGTAACGTGCGTAGCCCACCTTTTATTTAGTTGTGGCATCTACATTTGAAGAGAATTTTTTTAGTAACTTCCAAACGGAATAATTTCTCCTAATCAGCAATTTCTCCTAACCCTTTTGGCCTAACGTATGATTGGCTATTTAAGTTCAGAGATCAGGTTCAATTGAAAAATTTGAGGCATTTGATGCATCCTTTTACTCAAATAAATAGTTATGTTTATATGCATAATACATTAACCGTGGTGCTTAGTGTTCTCTCCATTAAAAAACAATTTATCACCTGATGTTGCATCTCTTAGGTAATGGAAACCAAATTCACTAGACCTGAAGCAAAGCTAGACAGAATTTGAAAATAAATGTGAAAAAGGGACATGAACACGTTTTTTGTTTGCTTGCTTGTTTTGGGGCTTTGGGGTTTGTTTTTTGTTGTTGTTTTGGTCTTTGTTGTTTTGGGTTTTGTGTGTTTTCTGGTCTGAGCCTTCAAAATACCTTACATCTTCTGTTTTAGAAAAGAATAACCTATGAAAAATGCATATATAAGTTAAGTATTAAACCTTATCAGTTATGGTTGTCTAGATTTTCTGAAGATTTTTTTCTGCATTTACCACTGTTTTTCCTTTGCTAATCTTACAAACCATTATAAGTAAAACATAGATTTTCTCATTTTCTGAGTAAGTTGACTCATGAAAGCTTCTATTATCTCAAACTTTTTTCAGAGAAAATGTGAATGTTTTTCTTTTGCACAGCTTGTTGATAAGGTGATGAGTGGTAGGGCTCTCAGAGTGGTCTCTCCCCATAGGTTTGTTCTCTCACTGTTCTCCATGATGTGACCGTAGGTTTCTGACAAAGCGAGAGCAGAAACTAATGCAACGGCGACAACACGCAGAGGAGCTCCTAGAATGGAAGCGACGTTTAGATGCAGAAGAAGCAGAAATTCGTCAGATGGAAAAACAAGCTTTGGCTGCCTGGGACAAAGAATTAATAAAACCCAAAACTCCTAAGAAAGACCTGGAGGACCAGAGAACAGAACAGAAAGGTAATAAATACTAACTGTTCAGACTACAAACTAAAGCCTAACATAATTGAAAGATTTCTTTCAGTGCTTTTAAAAATGCAAATGACTAAGGGTAAAGAAGGCAATACATCTACAAATGCTGCAATAATTAGAAAGATAAAAAAATTGTAAACAACTTTATGCCAGTACACACTTGAAAACTTAGAATAAATGGCAAATTCTTCTAAAAAATACAACTTTCCAGAGTTTGCTCAATTAAGAGAGGCCAGGAGCGGTGGCTCACACTTGTAATACTAGCACTCTGGGAGGCCGAGGTGGGAGGATTGCTTGAGCTCAGGAGTTCACCCTGTCTCTAGCCAAAAAAAAGGGAAAAAAGCCCAGCTGGGCTTTGTATCACTCTCCTATAGTCCCAGCTACCTGGGAGGCTGAGGCAGAAGGATCGCTTAGAGCCCAGGACTTGGAGTTTGCAGTGAATTTTCTTATTTTTATTTC